GAGAGGGAGAGGGAGAGGAGAGAGGAGAGGAGAGAGAGAGAGAGAGAGAGAGAGAGAGAGAGAGAGAGGAGAGAGAGAGAGAGGGAGAAGAGAGAGAGAGAGAGAGAGAGAGAGAGAGAGGAGAGAGAGTGAGAGAGAGAGAGAGAGAGAGGAGAAGAAAGAGAGAGGAAGAGAGGAGGGAAGAGAGAGAGAGAGAGAGAGAGAAGAGGAGGAGAAGAGAGAGAGAGAGACAGAGAGCGAGAGAGGAGAGAGAGAGGAGAGAGAGAGAGAAGGGAGAGAGAGAGAGAGAGAGAGAGAGAGAGGAGAGAGAGAGAGAGAGAGAGGAGAGAGAGAGAGAGAGGAGAGAGAAGAGAGAGAGATAAGAGAGGAGAGAGAGAGAAGAGAGCGAGAGAGAGAGAGAGAGAGAGGAGAGAAGAGAGAGAGAAGAGAGAGAGAGAGAGAGATGAGAGAAGAGAGAAGAGAGAGAGAGAGAGAGAGGAGAGAGATGAAGAAGAGAGAGAGAGAGAGGAGAGAGAGAGAGAGAGGAGATGAGAGAGAGAGAGAGAGAGAGAGAGAGAGAGAGAGAGAGAGAGAGAGAGAGAGAGAGAGATGGAGTCAGTTCATTGTGATATCCACCTAATATTGATTCCGTTTGTTCGGAATACTTTCGCCAAAAAACACCGAAAATTAAGCATTCCAGCTTCACCAATTTCCTCGCTGAAAATGGTCTGACTTGGCCCACGCTCAGCCAGTTTTGATGTAATGTCATTCGCGAACTGAGGCACGGACGTTAAAGATCAGCGCACTTCAGCAGGTTAACCCCATGAAAGGTCAGTTCCTCTCTGACCTTCGCAGTGGCCGGACGCGTCCGCTCTGCCTCCGAATAGCTCCGCGCCCCCGGTGCTCGTCACGGACCAGCTGAGGGCGGGACCAGGTGAGCCGTGCTCACCACGGCGCTCGCCATGGGACGCCGGTGGGTAGATATTTGGGGTGATGTGGAGGCATGGCTATGAACCAAGCGACGACGGATCTGTAGCCTGATGTGATCATGCGAATGTCATTACCACTGCCGCTAGTCTCCCATTATTGGGAGATGCTAGAGAGACATCAGTTGAGCCAAGCGCCGTCTACTGATGTGGATGGATTTTTGAACCGGTGTTTTGGAACATCCGGCGCCTAAGATAATGACATCAGACACGCTATAAGGAACTCGGTGGATTTGAATGTGGGCAAAAAGAGTTATAACCTTATTTAAATCATGGAGACATTTAGGACACGGCGATATGGTATTTGGACATTGATAAACTGCACCGTTATTGGCCAACTGTGTGGCCAAAAACAGCGTCGTTGGTCCCGCGATCCGCGGGCGCTCCAGCGGCCCACTCGGCTGATAGCCGCGACAGTCAACACAAGTTGGCCTTTGTTAGACGCGTTCATTTATAAGAGCATGATTTACCGTACTTACTGAACCTCTTCATCACGCTACAAATGGGCTCCGGCAATGACGGCAAAGGCGGATCATGTAGCTGTATCACTGGAAAAATTGGCTTGCACGAAGTTGTGAATGGTTTCCGATCGTTATTCGAGAACAGTATTTCAGTAATGGGAACAGTGAGGTGGCGGAGGCAGACGCGCTACGAGGCACGGTCTGGGGCCGCCTGGTTCCCGTTTCCGCGTCTCTGGACCAGCGTCTCCGGGACCTGAGAACACCGGTGCCAGTTTCAGATATTCGTTGATAGAGCCAGGACACTGAAGAAAACGTCAGGGCCCGAGACAGCAAGATCGCCGAGTTTTCCAAATGCCTGGATTGTGCACAGCAAGAGGTCGAGTGTCTTCTATACAGCATCGAAGCCACAAGGATCGCTCTCGCATGCCGTGCCCATCCTGTCGGACAGTGTCATGGCTGTCAAGCGTGTCCTCCAGCAGCGAGCGCCTCTGTACGTCGCGGGTGGTTCCGCCAGCTTGACCCGGCCCAGAGCTGATGCCGGTGCCGGTCCGGGTACGAGAGTGGCGGCGACCCGACCCCAACCACCACAGTGTTGATGGCAAACACGCTGTCTCCTTGCTTCCCAGACATCGGCAATTATGAGAGCGCAATAGATCGGGGCGGTTGGATGTCCGGGTCACGCAACCTTCCTCGCGGTGTTGTGTTCCGCACGGGGCAGGGTCCGTGATCGTTCAATGTGATACGGACTTCAGGGAGTGGCAAGGAGGGCTTGTTCATCTGCAAACGCCCCGCGCTTCTGCGAGGCAAATCGTCGCAAGCTAGGCAAGCGACAGATGATGGATAAGTCCGTATACCGTGTGCACGCGAGGCGAGCATGCTTTCTCTCTACCGGAAAAGGTCATGGGTAATGTGCGGATGGCCTCTCCAAGGCCACGTCAGCTGGGCTGCTCCGTGATCCCGCAACAAGCTAAGAGCGCACCCCCGCCGTATGGCTGCGCGCTGATTTATCTCCCTAATGTCGCTTTTTGTACCGGTCTTTGATCATGTCTGCGCGTTTCCCTTCGCTTGTGGTCGTGGTCGCAGGTGCTTCTCACCAACCTGCCTTCCATTTTGAGCCGTGGCTGCTTTGTTGCATGCTTCTCTGACTGTAGAGTGAATGAAATGTACACAATGAAATTGCCGTCAATTGCAATATGGTTTACTAATTTATCACGAAACATCCCGAAATCTTATCACAGAAACTAGTGACTTATACCTAAGTAGGTTTTACAGCGTCGTAAATAAGCAACTTGCGTCAGCTTTTGCCAGTCTCGGTCGGCGCATTTGCTGCGACCAAGCTCTTCGCCCAACCGCGGTGAGGGCCGGGGCTGCGCAATAGGGCCTTCGTGGTGTTCTCCGTGCTATCGGCAGTCTGCTTTACGTGTTTCCCCAACTTTTTCCTTTCTGTGGATTTTGTTGCCTTCAGTGACCGTAACATATTGCACTACATTCCAAGCTGTGATATTCGGTGGTGGATTTTAGGTTGCTGGAGCTTCCACTGGATCGGTACATCCTATGTTTTTATTAAGTATGCCTGAGTATCTTGGCTTGCGATTCTGTCCTGTTCGACTGCATGACTGCATGTAAATAAAACAATGCCAAACAAAATAGAGCCAAGTCATTGCTTCTGGATATGCAAACGCGTGACATACTTTGCATTATTTTGCTGCATACTGACACCTCCAGAAGAAATGAAAGACGTGTCTTTTATTGTAAGTTTTGGTATTACTTGAAATATTTAGATATCAAACAGTGCCCGCCTCTGACGACGCGTTGGATAACGTTTTCGATCGAACGCTTTCATAGTTGTGGCTTAACGTTCGATTAGACTGGACCAAGTAAAAATGCACTGCTGGTGATGTGAACATCATGCATGGGATTGACGGATGAGTTCGATTAACACAAGACGATTCCACATGAAGCCAACTGACCACCACCACCACCACCACCAGTATCGCGTGCCAAGCGGTAACTGAACATGAACGACAAGAATAAAGAATGATGCAGGCATATTTCAGTCGCGTTCCGTCTTTCGAAACCGTCCGGCCGTCTTCCCTGGCTGCAATAGGACGACAGCCTGCGCCGGTTGCTTCGGGGGCGGCGCCGGGTGCCAGGTGCCGCTGGGCTGCCTGAGTCAGCTGTACCCAGCCCGGCGGCGTGGAGCACGCTGGCGCATCATTAGCGGCCCGTCTGCGGGGCCGGGCCGCCCGGCTCCGCGCCTTGACAGCTCCTGTCTTCTAAGTTTGTTAATTTGGCGCGTCCGTGGTCGAACCGACGACTCGCAAGCCCGGCCGTCTGTTTGGCGGTGTCCCCGCGCCGCACGCCCCCAGCCGGCCTCTTACGTAAAGCGCGGGCAATCTGGCTCGATTGACGACACAGCCGGCCGGCGCTCAGATGAAGTGGGCTTCTGTAAGGCCGCGGCCTAACGACCGGCGCCGGACCGGCGCCATTTGGGAGCCCCGTGTCGCACACGCCATGGAGGCTGTCACGCCCACCTCTCCCAAAGTGTATAACACGTCATTAGGGGCCAGAGAATACTGCTGTCTCACATTGTGAGCATGACAAGCGGCTGCATCACTTTTGCTCCGAGTGTGGATCTTTCTAGCCTTTTATTGCATCTTGTGAATGTGCTGGAAAACTTGGCGGATAAACACGTATGTGTAAAGGAAAACTTGCGGCATAACATGCTTTCTGATACTTGCGGATGGTGGCATACCTCACAAAGACTCGCCCAAAAATGCAAGAGTGGTTACATCCACTTCAAACGATAAGGCTAAGAATCGCTTACTTTGCGGAGGCCTTGGTGCGTGAAATGTTGCAAGACGTCGTCAGATGTTTCGGCCATGATACATGAGAAGATGGGTTTTTGGAATAACAGAATGTAACCTGATCCTCCTACATCAAGCGGCCTGTCAATTCCAGGGCGATTTTTTGAAGGAACTGGAATACATGGCTTAGGGTAAGGAATAGCATTTGATTTCGGATCCTATCTAACAGCTTACTCAATAAGTTTCGCTGAGAAGACTGTTAATTATATTGTTGTGTGTGTTGGGCTGGGTTTAAAGATAACAAACGAAACCGATGCCGCAATGGTAAGCACCTGGAGGGGAGAGTTGTCAGACACTGGCGCTTCTCAAAATAAGTTTCTCCAACATCAATCTTGAAATGTTCGTGCATTTTGTAAGGCCACCGCACTGCGAGGAAGGAATTACGCCCCGAAAGTTCCCTTGCATGTAGTTGGCCAAACAATCTCCCCGCACCATGCCTTTGAGGAGAGACGTCATGCACATTTTAACACGCCCCCGGGTG